GTAACTTGTAGTTACTACACAGTAAAAGATGTTTTAAAAGAAATACAACTATAAAGCTAAACTTTTAAGATTTAATAAGCTATCCCAAAGGCCATATACGGCTACATCATCTTCTATGCCACGACTTTGAAGAAAACTATCCTGGATAGTAATAAGCCCTCAAAAATCAAAACTGCAAACAAAATTAGTCAATAATCTATTATTTGATACTGTCGAATCTCGTTCTTCTAATCATGTCATCTGCATAAGATGGAACCAAAATGTAAACTAATAAGAAGATGGAACTAAATATGTGGATACTTATGAGTTGCTTAAGAATTGAAAATATTCAAGATCTTTGCTAGTTGTAAAATGGCGATTAAGACCAATAGATAATTATCTCGACTTGGTAACATCTAACTTTATAAATTATTTGACAACTCAAATTTTATAGACTTCAAGTACATTATTTTTCTCCAATCATAAATATATAGAAATAAGCCCCTGTTTTAAAGATAACTAGTGTCAGCAAAATAAGTTGATGCATAAATCCAAATAGTCACAATCTCATTGCAAGTAAATGGCTCAAAAAAATACTGTTGAAGAGCTCTGATGAATGAAAAGAATCAAAGATAAGTAAAATACACATGTTTCTCGTAATATTCTTTGACAGTAGGCAGTTGTGTAGTTTAACAAACTTATCGAAGGAAACTTAAAAAGCATACTTAAATGTTTATTTGCTCAATATGAAAGGTTCTACGTTCTATACACCACGTGATGAGTTCTAACACCAACGTCAAAAGAGAGAAGATAATATATAGCTCAACGTTTCGCACCCAACAAGCAAGGGTGTAACCAAGCCCATAGCATCATGTGCGGTCGACAATAGTAACCATCTTGGGGCAAGGAACCACCCAGAAAGATGGAGGAGTGATATAAAAATAGAAAAAAATAAATAATCATTTAAAACATATAAAATTGTATTATTATGAATAATGGACCATAGAAAATCCAAATATAGGGAATAAAAACAATGAACCAATTGAAAATGTTAGGGGCAACTAGCAAGCAACCACCCTCTCATCCCTATATTGGTATGATATTGTTTAATTTGGGCATAATCTTAACAGTTTTGCTTTTGGCATCACCCAAAAAGTCTCATACTAATGAAGATGATGTCCCAAACTTATATGTCAATAAAATTTAAAGAAAAGTTTTTTTAGGGAAGAAAAAAAATAAATAATAATTAAAAACATACAAAAATATATTATTATGGATAATGGACTGTAGAAAACCCAAATATAGAGAATAAAAACAAGGAACCATTTGGAAACATATGGGCAAGGAACTACCCTCCACATCCCTACATTGGTATGATATTATCTAATTTGGACATTGGTATGATATTATCTAATTTGGACATAACCCTCGTAGCTTTGCTTTTGGTATCACCCAAAAAGCCTCATGCTAATGGAGATGTTGTCCCTAACTTATATGTCACTAAAACTTGAAAAGAAATTTTTTGTGGAAACAAAAATAAATAAATAATAATTTAAAACATATAAAAATATATCATTATGGATAATGAACGGTAGAAAACCCAAATATAAGGAATAAAAACAAGGAACCAATTGAAAGTGTTAGGGGCAAAGAACCACCCTTCACATCACTACATTGGTATGATATTGTCTAATTTTGACATAATCCTCGTAACTTTTCTTTTGGTATCACCCAAAAAGCCTCATACTAATGAAGATGTTGTCCCTAACTAAAATGTCAATAAAATTTAAAAAGAAATTTTTTGAGAAAGAGAAAAAAAATTAAATAATAAGTTAAAACATATAAAAATATATTATTATGGATAATGGACCGTTGAAAAATAAAAAATAGAGAATAGAAACAAGGAACCAATTGAAAGTATTAGGGGCAAGGAACCACCCTCCACATCTTTACATTCGTATGATATAGTCTAGTATAGGCATAACCCTCGTAGCTTTCCTTTTGGCATCACACAAAAAGCCTCATACTAATGGAGATGTTGTCCCTAACTTATATGTCATAAAATTTAAAAAGGAACTTTTTTGGGGAAGAGAAAAATAAATAAATAATAATTGAATCCATATAAAAATATGTCATTATGGTAATGAACAGTAGAAAAAACCAAATATAGAGAATAAAAACAAGGAACCAATTGAGAGTGTTACGGGCAAGGAACCACCCTCTACATCTCTACATTCGTATGATATAGTCTAATATGGGCATAACCCTCCTAGCTTTGCTTTTAGTATCACCCAAAAAGCCTCGTACTAATAGAGATGTTGTCCCTAACTTATATGTCAATAAAATTTAAAAAGAAATTTTTTTGGAAAAAGAGAAAAATAAATAAATAATAATTGAAACCACATAAAAATATATCATTATGGTAATGAACAATAGAAAAAAC